AATAACATCTTATTTGTTCGATCCTAATATGGTGCGAGAGACGAAAATAAGCGCATTCGCGAAAAAGGTTATTTTTTTAAGTCTAAATCTTATCTCAACTTTAGTTCTTGCGATGATTAAATTGCAATATGACGACTTATGTAAACATGCAAAGGACGCCAGAAGTCTTAATTACATTTTAATTATAAGTCATCTAAAGAGATGGAAATAATAAATGAGAGTACTTACTCTAAAACGATCTTGTTATCTAAAAATTGGGTCAACTTCAAAGATACGCGACTTACACGTAATCAAATGTACCAATAACCGTTCAATTAAATCACGTGGTACACTTAACGTCTTGCAAAATAATCTGGTTTAATAAAAAAGCGTAAATTTCCGGCGTTTCCCACGAGGCGTCGCCCCGGTTCCCACATGCGATTACTTTTTATTTGCAAGTTTGTCGCAGGCCGCGCGCATGCGTCGCAAATCTGACAGCGATTGGTCGGAACCTATCGCAATGTAACTTAAAATGTTCACACTTGAATACTTCGGATTCTATACGTATTGGTCCATAAAGGAACTCTCTTATAACTTTGAGATTGAACCACTTGTTTTCCATATATGAAATTAAATATTATTATAGTTGTTGAAACATTTGAATTACCTTTATACTTGAAACATTTATATATTACCATCACATCCAACTGGGAATCTATTAGAACTTAGAAATAATTTTACCTTTTTAAACTACAAACCGCACTTTCGTTTCTATTTAATAGCATTGAAACAGTTTACAGCTTTTAAATGCCTGACAAATAAGGATCGATAATCTCACGGGATCGCTGTAATGGAATAAAATATTTTAATTTACTATTAATCGTTACGTATCTGATCAACCAATTAATCTGTTGCGATTATTAAACTGTGATTTTATAATTATTAAAGTTAATAATCAAAGCACGATCACGTGTGAGATTAAAGATTCCTGTTAACGCTCGACAGATCGCGGCCGCTCGGTATTACTGTCACGTTCATGTGTGGCACAGATACCAGAGTAATATGTACCTTCATCACATAACCTGCTGTTCCTTCATTATACAGCATAATTTCTATATATTAAACCACTCTTCATCGGTATTTAATTTTACGTTTTACGTAAATTATTGTCTAAAAAAAATTAACTTCGTTTTTTATTTGTCTTTGCTGTCTTTTTCCTGTCATAATTTTCTCTTTATCACATCTTCACTATTAAAGACAAGATGCCTTTTATGTATAATCTTCGACATCGTTTTGAAGGATTTATAGTTAGTTTTTATATTATGACATTACTAACTTTACCGTAGCAATTTAGCATTGGTCGTGAGATCGCTTAGAGCCTTTTACCGAGGTTCTTTTTTACAGCAATCGATCGTTGAGTCGGCATAAAACATCCAATAACGTCATCGATATATCTAAAGCCCAACTCTATATAGCGTTCATACATCGTAGAGTAATTTCATATCTCGTCATAAGGCGATCGGCGCGACATGCTACCTAAAATAGTGTTGTGAAATAAATCAGAGATTGTCGATGTCGATATGTTGCGATTTAAAAAAATGGCGCGTGTGAATCTGCTCCGGTTGTGATCTTATGAGAGAATATACGGTATGTCGGTTATTTACACATATGACATATGAGGCCGGTCGATATTTAGTTATGCTCCTGCAATGCCTTCATAACTGTTGCTAAGACTTCCACTCACTTACAGTAACATAATTTTTAAAAGATAGAAATATTTCGCATTAATATTAAACATTAAGTTGGTTTTATTCTGTAGCGCTTACATTTTAATAATCATAATCCGTATACCAGATGGCATTTACTTTAACTTATTAAAATTTTCACTACTATTTGCTCATTTTTTCCACATATGCGTGAGTTCTATATACAACTAACTACATTTATTTATTGTAATTAAATGTAATTGATCAGAGACTCTAGCTACACGCTAAAGATTTTCCCACACTTACATTAAATTTTGATCGGTTATTATCTTGCACTCTCCATTCAAATGTCATTAATATTCAGAACTTTTCTTCTGAAGCTTTACTTCGGAAGTCCGTAATGAAAGTGTCAAATTACGACAATTATATGAATTACAATTGTAGAACGTTTACGATAGATATCGCAACTTCTTCTAATGGTTTCTGTACATATAGCGTTGCAAATTGCAGCGTGAAGCGCCACCCATATGTTCCGCACTGGTAGCCAAGCGGCACACGCTGCATTGGTCTTCTGCTGAATATAAAATTAGTAAGACCCTCGACCGTAAACAATGCTATCTTTATATATCTAAACTTACTCTGCTTATAGCCGGTTTCCCAACTACATTTAAACATTCGTTAGTGTTTTTGGTTACAACGTAACTTGAGTTTTAATCTTTTGAAATTTAGATCAACCTAACACTAACGAATCATTAGGTAATGAAAACTGCAGCAGAATAGTTTACCTATCTACTATTTAACTAAATGCATTCTATGCTTGAGTTGTAAAGTAATTGAAATGTCTATATCTGTACGTCTATAAATTAAGTTACAATATCGCTTCCCTTTTCACACCTCGCATCGATTTTCATATACACATTATTAGCTGTCTAATACATCGACTCTCCAACACTTTATCATGCATTGACTTATATCGATAAGCTATGTCCGCTACGGTGAATTACGGTAATTTATTACTATCGAGTTTACATAACAAACTCGTAGAACATGTCGATCCGCCTATTCGAAATGCATAAAAGTCGACAAAAGTTTACAAGATATACGATTCGAGTGGCGTCCGTGGTAGGGGCTGCGAACGAATAAGCGATTCAAATGCTAATATATCACAAGGCGGCGTGGCGTGATGCCGCTCATTGGCTCCGCTATTTCCATTAACATACATAACAGTGGTCGCCCCGCCCACCGCTGCACGTCACGCCGCTTCCGAACGTTAATTACCGATAATTAGCGGATCGTGACTCGACTCGCGATGGACTCACAAATATGCAATAATCACTCGAACGTACCTTATGTGTACGCTCTATGGATACAATTAACTGAATCGATAACACAAGAATTCAAATCGATAACCACTTAAGAAACGATATAAATTATATCTTAACGCACATATACATTCTAAACAGATATAAAACTAAATACATTAATTAATACATAAAAGTATTTAGTTATATTGATGTAATAGTTATATTCAAGGACTAAGTAAGGACTCCTTGTAACATTTGTGTTAACCGCTTTTGGTTTATTAAAATTTTTCATAAAATAAGCCCAATTTTGAAAATAAAAATTCCTTACCTTAATCGTAGAATGTTTTTTTCACATTACTTTTATTAAATAAATTGCTTTAAAATATCATCTTGCTGCGACAAGCTGATTAAGGATAGATAGAACGGGTTAGCGACTGTTTTCTAATAACTCGCCCTTCAATCCGTTTATTCTCAGCAATTACAAATTAGTTCTTAGTAATGTATCATTACTAAGCACGAACTTCTAACAGTGCCGGATACTGGCGTCTGGCTTTTGTAACAAATCATAAACAAACTGCTCGAGGCTCACGAGCTCACCAAATAAGGTACTTAGGATGTCGATGTTCGGTTGTACAAAGGATTTATGCCGGCTCGTTTTGGTGCAAATTAACCGAGTGTCAAACTGTAGGCGTGAGCTAACTAATTTGTAGCAGCACTCCAGTAATAATGTTTTTTGTTTAAATCTACTTGTCTCTTAACATTAAAATATGTAAGTTGTATAAAATTCAGGTATTTTATCAAAGAAAACCACTAAACAATCGATATTTATAAACATATTGGAAAAATTCCTGACATAAAACGAAAGTTCCTACAAAATAATTCTTTAAGGTGTCAAAATATAAACAATTCACTATTGATTCCCATATTAGAGGTGTTGCAACATCCAACTTCGTGCTGGACTTAATTTAATGCTGGCCCATAAATAAAAAACCAACTACCATTAACAGACAAAAAAATGATTTCTTTCTTTTTTGAACAAACATTATTTGCTACCAGTATTAATCACGACGTAGTCATATCGATCTGTCAAAATTATTGTGCTATAATGATATTGTAAGACAATGCAAATTCATACGGCGTTATCGTCGACGAAATCTTGAATGGACAGCATTGCCGGCCGAAATGTGCGTGGAGAGACGTGGGTGATGCACGCAGCGATCAATCATACGGAATGGAGTTGTCCAATCGACCGTACCATACTACCGTACCAATTCTTAATACTTTTTTGTATTACCTTAGTGTCGTAACCTGATGAGATAATTTGTATTTCTTTCTTCAACGATATTTTAATTATGTTTCAAAAATAGTATTTTAGTCATTTTTATATTTTAGGTTTCTATCCGTCAAAATAGATTCTTATCAAGTGTCAAGGAAATAAGAGAATATTTAATATGAGACCACTCTTTAGTCGTATGTAAGAATTTCAAGTAGATAGTTTCGAAATATGACAAAATCGATATCGAATCGAGTGCGGGACCGCTTCAGTAGAGATTAAAGCTGTCACTACAGATAATGCACAGCGTCTGTAAGGAAACTTGTTCCCGCGTAATATGTATTTACAGCATAATAAAGTAGCCAATAAAGTTATGTCAATAATTAATTGAAAAAACGTCGATGGATTCGGTACCGAGTGGTCCAGATTGCGATGTCGCAAGCCGGTGGGCGTGCGCGGCGCGTAGGAGCCGGCATCGATCACGATGGTCACCCTGCCACTGCTCGCCTTATTTCGCAATTACTGAATACGTTTTAGCGTACCGACGTTTCTCCGATGTCGAATAACCCGACAAAGGTGGCAGCTCGAATTTCTTAATGAAACTAATTAGCTGTATTTATTATTTTATTTACACAGCATTTAGTATGCAATTTCATTAATTACCAACATATGCAATCAATTTTATGTGAAAAATAATGTAAGCCGATAGACAAACTGTAACTTCATTTTTTGTTGCAGGTCGGTGGCGCACGAGCCCGATGAGCGCGTGCGCGGCGGCCGCCATGCGCGAAAAACACGCGGCGCCGCGCCGCCTCGCCTCCCCGCCCTCCTCGCCGCACGACACGCACCCCAGCCCCCTCGGGTCCCCGCGCGCAGACGAGCCGCTCGACCTGAGAGTCACCCACAAGCGGCCGCAGCGGCTAGAGGACGAGAACTGCAACCTGATCGTGCCCTCGCCACCACCTCACCCGACGCATCCGGCCCACCCCGCGCACCCGGCGCTGCTACAATTCTGTCGGCGACTGCCGCTAGCTTTACCAGCCTCCTTCGGCCGATACCCTTTCCTCCCGGCTGCTGCGGCGACTCTCCTAGCCCCGGGGGCTCCGCGGCCGCCGCCCGTGCCGCCGAACCCCGGAGTCAACAGAGCCCGCGATCGGTACACATGCTCGTACTGTGGCAAGGCGTTCCCGCGGAGTGCAAATCTAACCAGACATTTAAGGACGCACACGGGCGAACAGCCCTATCGCTGTAAATACTGTGAACGTTCCTTCTCCATTTCGTCAAACCTTCAGCGACACGTAAGAAACATTCATAATAAAGAGCGACCATTCCGATGTCGTCACTGCGACCGTTGCTTCGGGCAGCAGACTAACCTAGATAGGCATCTGAAGAAGCACGAGGCGGAAAACGGAGATGACGGCCGTCGAAGATCGCCGGAGGAGACGTATTTCGAGGAGATAAGATCGTTCATGGGACGTGTGGCTCCGGCGCGCCGCGCAGCAGCGGCGGCTGCCACCGGCCTCGACCACACCTGATAGTGGCCGACGTCAAACTAATTCGCCGTTACAATTATCTGGTCGAAGCATCCAAATGACTCTCGTGTATAAATATAACGGTACCTTTTACTATGTATGACATTCTCGATCGGTATGACACGCCAATGAAACTATCATGCTATCTAGTTATACCTATTCCTTTTTTGTATTATATTAAAAAATTCTGTATATATTTCTTAATTGTTACCGAGTCCACTAGATTTACCTCTGATTCTTGGCGTAATCTAGTGTTAGGGTGTACGTGCCGCCGTGTCGAACGGTAGCTTGTATTAACGAAGTGATAACGTGTCGTGTACGTAATGTAAATATAAGATTGTGCAAATTAGTTTAGTTCCGTACCGAATTTTTCACTACCGATAGAAGTTATTAGAATAACGGATAATATTCCTTGTGAAACTTTGACATATGTGTCAAAATACGCTAAGTGTTCTGAGAGTGTTCGCTACTTTAGATTTACAATTTATTATTATTGTATGAATGTAAGTTGTCTTGTACTATTTTTGTATAAAATTTGCTTTTTCGATGTAAAATATTTAGTAACTTAGTCTGAAAGGAATCGCCGGTTACCAATAAATATGTTTAATTTGTTGCTTATTGATGATATTATGAATATATTTTAATGAAATGTTAGACAATTTGTTTAAAAATGATTGGATATCTTTAAAGATTATTATAGAGTGTGTTTCGTAAATTATTTAGTTTTATTGCTTCATAACGCATACGAGAACGCGAGGAAATCCAACTCGCAATTGTTAAGTTTCCAAATATTACGAAAAACATATATGTATATAAAAGTTTTGAGATTTTAAATAAGATTATATAAAATTTATGAACACCAAGTTCTAAAAAGATATTAAAAATTGAAGCTCTAAATTAAGTTACATATATCTGTGATTTTATTTATTACTTGGCTGCAATTAAAATCCATAACAATCTGTTAAGCCTAAAAATCTTACAAAGAACTACACTAAACGTTCCTTTAGGAATAGATAGATCTCTGGTAGTGTTGCTACGAGTATACTATTAAGTCATGGATTCAACCACTGATCATACTTTGTACTATTGAGAAAAAGATTGTATTACAAAATCTAATTTAGCTACTATAACACATCTTATTTAACTTTTTAATAAAGATAAGTTGCCAAAATTTTTAGATTTCATTATCCTACTATCTTCAGTAATACTGTGTCATATTACAATACTTTAGATAAAAACTTATCAAACCAATGAACATACGGCCAAATATTGAAACAAAACAAAACACCAGTTGTCAAAATTTTAATGGAATTTGAAGTTAAAAAAGCGTGATGCTGTCATTTAGAACTCTGTTATAGATTTAAATATCGTTCCAGTATTCGGCCGAGACTTTATGTGTGAGTTAATAAAATTTTGTTTAACCAGCAACGAATTTTCCATGACTTTACCTTATACTCGTAACAAATAATACTATGAAATGTTTAAGAGATGCTATTTAACTTATCACTAGATTTAAATGAAGATAGAGATTATTATTACCTTGTCGTTTTGTACTTTTGATACCTATTAGTTGTTCAAAGGTCACCGATTACCTTGTCAAAATAAATTAAATATTATGAAATTATTAATGTATTTCTTTTAACCCTAATCTACTCTTTGTTTATTTTAATCGATAGAGTCAGTAATTTTTATAGACAAATAAGACAAACAAGAATAAAACAAAGTTAATTGGATCTAGGTATACCAACGATAAATAAATCAAACATTTTTTGTTCATACTAGGTGTACAACAACAGCAATAAACTATCCGCCATATTGTCATTTATAACACAGGTGTTAGATATACATTAAATGGTAACTATTGCACATAAATTCAAAGGCGTAACGATAATAAGATAGATAATAGATAAAGTACAATATGTAACAGCTCGTAATACCATAAACGCAGCACTTGACAAACACGAATGAGATCTAATTCAAATGGTATTCAAATGGTACGCCATTTTGGAATCGAAGGGCGCCGGGGCCGGGGGCGTGCGTTGCGCAGCCTCGTGAACGTTTACGATACGATTATACTTTATTGCCATTAATTTGCGACAAACGAAACCGCCCAGAAACATCGAGACGGCCATATTGGAGAAACACTAATAAACTAATTGATCGATGTACATATTAGAAACTTCTTTGTAATTGACCACCAAATCTTTTACAGTGATTTATTACGAGCTGTCGCAAACTTCGTTATCGTAAATATGGACCACCCGTTACACAATTTTGACAGCGCGGAATTAAAAAAGTAGACTTTAATATGCCTATCCATGTCAGCTACCCTCCAGTGAAAGTCCCGTCGAATTTGGCCCTGCAGTTTCGGAGATTACCCGGAACAAATGCGGCTTGCGTCAGACAGACAAAAAAAAATTTGAACGCGATTTACGTTTTCAGGAACGCAAATACATCATCTTCCCGAAATTTGTTTTTTCTTCTGATATTATAGAAACTCCAATTTTATTATATATATAGATTAATCGCCTTTAGCAAGCAGTTTAAAAAAAGAAGAGCAGTTTTTTTAGTTTATAATTCCGCAATAAAAAAGACTGTAAATTTCAATTGAATAACGATATCTATCTCTACCTATCCCCATTTGGTTTACAATACGACTTAACGACTAGAAAAAGTAAGCTCCAGCGACCATTACACAGAAGAATAATAATCTTTATATGAATTATTTCTCGATAACGGTAGCAATAAAAACTTCGTGTCTATAAATTCCTACGCAAATAATCTAGTATAGATCTAGGTCCAGCGCAATGTAACTATGGCTATCATTCCGAATGCGACTTTAACGGAATCACTGTTTGCTCTGTGGTCCAAGTTAGAAGTGTCGCGCGATCACGGATTATAAAATATATTCACATTATCACACTAAGAAATGAGTTGCTTTACGAAATAAAAAAGTATTGTTTATTTAACTTTTAATATATCATTTCCTTCATAATAGTCGCGAAAGTCGATTTTGCAATGTCATTATAGTACTTTAATAAATAATTTTAGTTAAGAATAAAACGTTCGGCTACGGCTATTTAATCATATCATATATTTCATATAAACCTACGTTACAAGATTCTTTATTGACTTATGTGTTTCTCGCTGCGTCAGGTATATTACATTTATACAGTGCCAGGGGAATCCTGACATTTTTGATTGAAGATCACTTTAAACAAAAACGCATATAAAAACCTTTTACCCGATATATTTCGTTTAAAAATATCCAAACTTTGCAAATTGTTATGTAACGTAACATCCATTCCTCATGCACGCTTTTATCACCGCAAAACTCAAAGCGAAAGATAAAGTTAGGCACGAAAAGCTTATAACTTGCGACGTTAGAAGTAGCAGCAGGGTGGGGCTGGTTGCACAACGATGACACGGGCGCGGGCGCTGGCAGGGCGCGGGAGGGCCGCGAGGGGCGCGGGCACCTTGTTAGCGGCGCGTGCGCAGCCGCCGCGTTGCGTTACATTATTTATTGCTTATTGAAAAACTGACGGTCGCCCGCGCAAAATTAGAACTTTTGTGGTCTGCGTTGTTGCTACTTTTTTTTAAGTATCAATTTTTGCGCCGTCGTAAAAGTTGTGTGCCAATCTAATGGCAAATTATTGTTACACAAAATAGCAATGCAATATTTCTATATTCTAATAAGGAAAAAGAGTTGGAAACAAAAAATTAAAGCGGTTGTTGAAATAATCATAGTTACAACTTACAACACTCAATTCAAAACATTAAGATATATTAAAGTTTTAATTTTTTAAAATGTCAAATTCTAAAAAAGAGATTCCACATTGAATTGATATCGTCCTTTTATTACCCAATTCCAATATTGATTTATACTTTGAAATTAGAAATCTACATAACATCTAGATAGGTCTCGTCCTTTGACAAAAGCAATCAAATATAACCCATAAAAATAAGAATAGAAAACTATATTCTTCTGTTCATATTACCAAGTACCACTGCAGTACATCTATTGGTATTTTTATTGCTGATAGCCACTGCTGGCCTCAGGGCTTTCACAGCTTCACGGAAACGAAAGGTAACCGACCGCAGGGATAACATAAACCGTTGTTACTATCAACTTCAAGTACACAATAAGTCTGCTTGCATTTTTAATCTGAATATTCACCTTACGTCAGAGAGCAAAAGAGCATTTTTTTTAATTTTAACACGTTAAAAGCCATAGAGATTTTTATATTCTTTCAGTTTTGGAATTACAGGTAGCACACCATGTATTTTATGTATACATTTCTTATTTTAACTTTAAGCGAGATACGTACCAGGCGTTTTAGAGCTGGTTTCGCATTCAAAGTGTTAAAACTTTGCTTGCACAATGTATATACACGCTATGATTCAATAGCATTTTAACGAATGATGGTAGGTATTAGTATTACGGCCGGATACTAGAACGAAAGACAAAAGTCATAACTCTAATAGATTTTGGAGTTTAATCGTGGATTTATCGTTAGAGACACTGTTATAGTTAAATGTCGTTTCAGTTTTTGGCCGTTAGAATTTAAAAAGAAACCGAGTTGCCAATTTTAAAAACGATACATGCTGAATAAGAGCTTGTTATTAATACGATATTAAGCAAGTACTGAATGTGAAATGTATCCAACGAGACGGACAAGTCTGTGGTCAGTTGCATGATTTTGGGAGCGCACTTGCGGTGACAAGAGACGCAGATGTAAAGTAACACTAGAAGCGTCACTTTCACTATGTTTTCAATTGATTTTTATATTAAGTTAGATAGCCCGATGTTAGTTGAAAAAGTTGCCAACTTGTTTACTATGGCTTTAGGCTTTAATAGTTTCTTGCCAAAATATATCAAAACGCAAAGATTTACACTTTTGAGACTATTCCAAATGAAAACCATCCATTCCATTAAAAATCTTATATCTATTCCAGTGACAGTTTGTTCATTGTCTTCGAACAGGTGACCGATCCATCACTTGTGCTCAGTGACGTGCTTAATTAATGGAAAGCAAGGTCGGCTGACGAAATAGGCCTACAGCCATTCTGGCGGTTCACAAACCCAGTGTCTTACGCAAACTTTTCTAACACAAAAAAACTCTCTCTTATTAACATTACTTTTATATGTTACTAGCTTTCGCACACAACTCCGTCTGTTCAGAATTTAAAAAAAGTGAGTAGCCTATGTGTTCTTCCTGACTATCCTCTACATCTATGCCAAATTTCATTGAAATCCGTTCTGTCGTTTATAATATAAACTCTAACAAATATCCATCCATCTAAACTTTTGCATTTACAATATTAGTTAACAAATTTGAATTGATAAGTACAAATAAATCGTCTGAAAACTCGCGTTAAAGATATTTTTGATTCAAGATTCCAATGTATAATATTCTTAATAAGCAATAAATTAAAATAAAATTATACACTTATAACATAACTTGAACATATTTGAAAATCGGCGTGAAATAACGTGTCCGAGATACAATTAAAGAAAAATGTACACCGGATTTACCCATATCCGCAACTCCATATCATAGCGGGCGAAGTCAAGTGTCGAATCCAGATAAGGTCGGGCCTTGCTTTGGTCATGCCTTGCCGAGATATTTTGATGAGGAGCAGATAAATTAATTACATAGTGGTCCAAGTGAACGCTAATAAACTGGCAAACTCGCTTATCGATATCGACCTCGAGATAGAGCTTCGGTAATGACGCTTTAAGTCACGTGTCTCTTCGCTTCTGCAGCTTTAATTACAGCTTTTTGGAATCACGATTAACTTAGTTACAGAAAAAAAAACAATTTAAACGACTTCAAGATTATTACATACGTGTTAGTAGTAGTGTAAAGATTATTTTCTTTTATGTTCTCGAAGCAATATTACATATTGAAACAGTTTACAAATTCACGTCGCTTATTAAAAATTACAAGAGAATGCGTCAAGTAAATAACAAATTATAACCCAAGGGGCTACAGCCACTATAATTATAGACATAAAATTGAACAAATTCGATTATCACCTCACTTTGTATAGCGATGGATGTGGTTATGCCTCATTTTAATGCAGTTACTACAAATCGAGAAACTTGCGATAGCGCTCGATAAATTGGCCGTGCATCGATAATAAGTGTACCGGCCATCAATAATTACACGGTAGCTGTGACGATAAGCGTCGACACTATTGTGCATAATGTCGTCCAGTATTACTAAATTATATACCGCTCGATGCAACTGCAGAACGCCGGCCAGTGGAGCGACCGGTACCGCCCGGAGTTCCTCTCAATTAGGTTAAAACCAATTTAAATATAAACGTCACATTGCAATATCGAATCAACTTTAACGTTCAATGATATATAAGGCTTATACTGACTAGAACGGCGTACTAATTAACAATGAAAGCCACAAATCAATAGCAAAATGTTAGTCGAATGGATTGAGTTGACCAGACTCTATAGAACACGTGTAGTTTACGATATTTATACTGTTTCTTAAGACAAAGGAGTAACTACCACACTTCTGATTACTTAAAACAAAAGAATAACAAAAATATCTTGTCTTTTGAAATAATATGTTGA